AACAATTTTGGTGTTTCTCATCTTCTGCAATGGTACTTATCAACATTTTCTCTGAGCCTTCCCAATATTGTCAGAGTACTTTTTTCCTTTTTTTTCCTTTTTTTTTTTTTTTTTGTCATTCAGATATATTTCATGACAATAGTTAAATTAAACTAAATTATAAGTAGGAACAAGGCTAGAAATAAAGAATAACAAATATTCTCAACTTTGTGAAAATTGAACACAGTTTTAAATAATTCACTGTTGATATAATAAATCAGAAAGTTTTTTGTACAACATTACAGTCATTGATAAACATAATAAAAATTGGATCTACATCACATTTATGTCTTGATTCCATATATTTTTAATTTTTATTCTTTTTAGTTATATGATAGTAGAAACCATTTTGATGTATTTATACAAGTTTGGAATATATCTTATTTTAATTAGGATCTGTCTTGTATATGTACACAATGGTGAGATTAACTGGTGTATTTATATATTCATACATGTTCAAGGTACTTTCTTATAAGGGGTATAGCACAGGCCACTTTTATTTATTTCCTTTCCTGTGTTCACCAGGTAATTACCTTGTTTAGCTGTTTCCTATTTAAAATTTAAGAATTAGAGGTCAAGGTGAAAACTGGTTCACTTTTAACATTTCCTCATGTTTAAAATAATACTGAAGTATAGAACTATCAAGTTAAGCCTCACTCTCCAGAGGTAACTAACCCCACTGTTAATAGTTTAATATCCTAGATTTTTTTCTGTGACACCTTTATTAAACAATCAGAACGCACATTTACATAACCTATTTTTTGCCTTGCTTTTTCACATATATTCTAGACTTCTTCCTATGTCAGGACATGTAATTTACCCTGTTTTTCTTAATGGCTACCCACTATTCCATTTTATGGGTTTATTATAAACTAACTTACCTGTATTTTGTTTGTAGACATTTAAGTTATTGCCAGTTTTCTTTGTTGTTATATCCAGTGCTATAATGCACATTTTTGCCTGTGTATTATTTCTATAAAATAGATTCTTACAAGAAGAATTGCTAGGTGTAAGAAAGTGGACATTAGTATCTTTTATCTTTCTCTTTGATTTTGCTTAAACTGAGATTGAAATTTAATCCTTTTCTATAAATTTTTTTAATGTTTATTTTTTAGTTTTCAGCAAACACAACATCTTTGTTTTGTATGTGGTGCTGAGGATCGAACTCGGGCCGCACACATGCCAAGCGAGGGCGCTACCACTTGAGCCATATCCCCAGCCCTATATATTAATTTTTTAAATAGGGGTTTTCTTTGTATTTAAACTTTCAAACTTATTTTAATAGCCAATTTCTAGTGATATATAATCCTCCTGAAGTATTGACTGAGAAAGAGATCAACCTGGAGTTAAAAATCTCACCTGAATAATTCCTGATGAGAAAAAATTACGTTCTTAAGTTTGCAGTATTAGCCTTTGTATTGAGTGTACATATATATATATATATATATATTTTTTTTTTT